CACGCAGACAGACAGACACGCATACAGACATACAGACAGACACGCATACAGACATACAGACAGACAGACAGACAGACAGACAGACAGACAGACAGACAGACAGACAGACAGACAGACAGACAGACAGACAGACAGACAGACAGACAGACAGACAGACAGACAGTGCTTAGGCATGCTCACCTCTGTAAGTGTTTTATACCATTTGGTGGTTGTAAGATTTTGACTAAATTTATGACTGCATCTTTATCTTTACCTATAGAATGAGAGAATTCAAACCACCATCTACATTTACCATATTACACTATATAAACATGTATGGATTACATTGAGATTAGATTGGATTAGATAAGATTAGATGCTGAGATTATTATATTGTACATTAGAAAAAAAGAATATACAAAAAAACACTAATAAAAACAAACCAAGGTGCACCAATCAACTCCACCATGTTTTCATATACGCAGACTGAGTGAATGTCACAACCACTGACGTCAAATACGTCTGTGAAATGTATGGTATTTGCAACTACAAAGTACTAGTAGAATTAGTAGAAATGGTGTTTGAAAGTCCCGAAGTATCACTTTAGGTTTGTGATCTAGTAGCCACTTTCTATTCCTCTATTTGACATACAAGTGAAGAAAAAATATGTTATTACTCACAAATTGTAAGTACTAGCTGGTACTACTTCTCTAAACTTCGACCGTTTTGAATAAAAATACTTGTACTTTCTAGTCACAAACCACCACCTTTCACTTGTACAAACTTCTACACACTGAAAGCATGCACTTTTCTCCACACGCTCACTATCAAATATAATAACCTCCCTAAAGAGACTAGAAAACATAGACGCCACATTTACTGTGCTACAGAGTGAAATATGTGGACAAACACTCCCCTGCATTTAGATACACACAAAGAACATGAACAAACATATATTGTTTGCAATCTCTAAACCAACAGTTGTAGCGAAAAGTGTTTTTTTGCACACAGTTACACCACATGATCATGTGACTGAGTCAAATATATAATACAGAATCTACCCCCTAATGAACGTGATAGTGAGATGACACCAAAGCATACCTCTTGTCTGTGCGAGTACCTTCAACACCATAGTGACGGCTTCCTTGTGGTCAGCTTGCGATTTACGATGGATCATCAAGGCATACTCTAATAAGGCTTTGTGATGTTCACAACTTGTTTTCACCACAGCCTACATGATGCAAAAAAAAAGCAAAAAAAAAACAATGATATTTTCTGCCCTGTATGTAATTCTGTTTTACTGTAGTTTTATTTATCGTTGGTAAGATTATTCAACACATCATGGGGTACTCATGAAACCATACATCTACAGTACATGCAGGTACCAATCACGATACATGCCAAAGTAATAACAATTCAAAATCAAAGAAAGCTTAGAAAGAACTCCCATGTGCTGAGAGTATTGGAGACACATTAAATATAATTCAAAATTACTTAGCTGAAAACTAATTATGCAAATCAGAAAATTAATATGACCAGATTTGAGTGTAAAACTAATGAGGTCTGCGCAATGTAACAGAAAATCTATGTCTCCAAGTTTAATTGAAATGTGATTAGAACCAAAAAATTATGAATTATTATGCTTATTAGGGAATTAATATGAACAGATTTTTACCCCAAACTAATTAGGTTTGTACATTGTCCTAGAGCATCTTTGTACTAAGTTTCATTGAAATGGAATAATTAGTACCGTGAAAACTCCAAAACTTCGACCCCTCTAAAAATTCGACCGCCTATTTATTTGCCGGGTTTCGGTGTTTTATTTACCTCCAAATTTTCGACTCCACTAAAAATTGCCGACTCATTCTTATTCGAAAATTGCGACCAGTTTTAGTTTTCCCTCAACGAAAAAAAAACACGATGTGAGCGTTCAAACGGGA